ACCCCCCGACCCCCCCCCCCCCCCCAAAGATTATTTGTTATTGTAACTATATTCATACTGTTCATCTCTCATTCCTAAAGCAGTATCTGGTTTTATCGAGTCTAGTTCTGCTTGTACAACAAGAAAATAAGTAGGTCTAAGATAGACCTAATTGGAAACTAATTTGTTTCTCTAGTGGAGTTCATCTTCTCAAGCATGACATTGTCATCACTACTATAATAAGCATTCTTCTTCTCCAAATTGAAAAAGAAAAAGAAGAAGAAAGCAAACAATTTACTTAGCGATTTTGCTCCATTGAAGGTTTTACTTGGAGTGGGGGAAACCATCTCTTCGCGGACTTGTCCCAAGGTAATTTAGGCGATGCAAATGATAACTGTATTGCTGCTTTCTGAGACAAACTTTATTTTCTATGTCAATGATTTCCTCATTTGGTAGATGCTTTTCTCATATCAATTTTATTAATCTCTCCTTTTCCTTCCCAACAATTCATCTTCTTCTTGTTCTTTTCTTCTGCCTTCTAATCCCAGGTACTAATTTTGAATGGTACTCATGATCGAGAAACTGGTGGCTTTGGTGCTTCTTGCTTTGTGACTGCCATTACTGATGCCTTAAATCGAACTTATGGAAATCCTCACAATTGTCTTAAAAATCCTGTAAGTAGCTGATCGTTCAAGTGAATGACTAACTGATATGGATTTTCATTTAATGGGTTATTTCACTTGGTTCTTTTTTGTGGAACATGCATTTTGTCAGTTGAAATGTTTTCACATCATTGCCAAGATGCAACTTTAGGAAAGTGATGTCAAATTTTGGTTTATTCAAGAAGGTTCCCTGAGTGTGGTTGTAGGATCTTGCATGTGGCATTGTTTAATCCATGTCTTCCTTTCTTTTTCTTTCCCCACTCAGAGAGTGTGGTCGGGAGTGGGGACTCTCCAGATTTCCCCTTAGTTGTTTCCATGACTCAGAAGATATTCTTTCTTGGAACCCACTAAGGGGAAATATTCTTAGTGTACCTTGTTCCAGGTTGTTGATACTGTTATTCTTCTTTTTAAGGTTGCAACTAGTAGTGAGAGACTGAGAGAGCTGTAGGGAGGGGTTTATTTTGAATAATCAGAGCCTTAATTTGTAAGGAAACCAAGAAACACCCGTCTAGTGGTTCTGGGAAAAAAATATAAAATCCAGAAGGCAAAGTATCATTCACCATTCGGTGAATGAATAATGAATTAGATAGTCTAATCTAGTAGTGCTACTATTGATAAGAACTCTAAGAACGCTAATCTAAAGCACTCTAGGATCCCTCATTTTTTTCGATTAAAAGAAAATAAGAAATTCCTAAACCAAGTCGGAATCAGTCACCTATGGATCAACAAACTAATAAACAACAACAATAAGAAGTTGCATTCTAATAGACCTCTTAATACTTGGGAAACTAAGTAAATTTAATGTAGTGTAAGGTTCTCCATAGGCTGTCAGCTGAAATCAGAATCTTTTTTGGAATTTTCACCAACCTGCTTCCAGTGAAAAAAAAAAGACTTACTTTTATTGGAAGTAGGCTTCATTTTGCTGTCCGTTTCAAATTCTTAGAGAAAGTTCCTCGCAAATCTTCTAAAGTTGTGAAACTTTTCATTTGTATCAGACTGCAATTTAATGCTACTAGGCATTAGCTCCTGGTCCTGCTTATGAGACATCACACACTTTGGAATTGACTTGAGCATATATCTTCAAGCAAAATAATGGATCTAATGAATCTTAAGATCTGAGAATATTTGCCATAGGTATATACAGTGTAATTTTCCGAGGCACCCCCTATTCTGCCCCTCGCTAGTTCTGCCCCTGGGTATCTCCCACCCTATTTTCCTGCTGCATCACGTAAGTTAATTTTTGAGTCCTTTGCTACTCCCTTTATCCCAACTGATTGTACCAGATGCCATTATGGTTCCTAAGATGAGAATTAGAAACACCAGTTGTTTAGCATTAATGGGTGGAACATCTGGGGCACAAGTTTTTCCTAAATTGTTAAGAATAGAAAGAGAGATATTAACTCTGAGGAAAATGACCCAAGATACCTGGCATTACATATTACGTTGTAAAGTCTCCTTGAGAGTATAAATTATTTCATGGCCAAACAATGAAAAAGTTGATATTCCATCTGTTGCAATTCCGTCAAAATCATTTGGTTCTCGTCACTGTAGACGTAATTTGTTTTTAGTTCATTTGTAAACTAGCTGAATGACAACACATAACACTAGATATCATGTACTTGCACAAACAATACTTTGAATCTTTGTCATGAAAATCAAAATTCTAATTTTATATGGTTTAATTTTTCTTTTCAGCCAAACAAATATATCAACACCCTTCTGGTGCCAAAAAATGGCCAAATACATGTGGATATAGAATGCCTGGCTTCTCAGGGAATTTTCAATGTGGTATGTTCCTGTTTCAATGTTATTAGAAATGCTTCTTGGTTAATCAATAATGTACTTGCATTAGTTTCTTTTGTTCATGTGCTTTCACGTCGTAATTTCGAAAACTAAGTTCTCATTTGAAATTTGCGAAAAGTCAGCATCATGAAATGTAATTAGACCCAAATAATAGTGATTGTTTTGCTGGTGATCCTCTTCAATTTAGGTGACAAATTGAGTTCTTGTAGGTCACTGTGGATTCCATCCGTGATCCAAAAGTAGGGGTGCTTTTCGATCCCAAATCATTGATTCAAGCGCTTTCTAACCTGTTGATGGACACATGAGCCTGAATGTATTGTGGCTCGTTAAACCAAAATTTATCAGAAATTGAGAAGCTGGTGGCACAGTAATGTTTTGAAGTTGCTCTCTTTTTTGCGCAACTTGTAAGGTTATGATTGAGCTCTGCAGGAATGAATCCCTAATATGAAGGCTGGTAATTTTGTTTCATTCATCCATCTATTGAATTTCATCATAATTTTAATGCTGATATGGCTGGATTGAAGAGAAACAGGCTCTTCCGAGACACTTGGTAGATAACAATTCAAGCAGCTCTACGTTGATTTCAACTCCCTGAAGTCTGAAGGATGATGGTAAGGCTTGCATAGTTTCAGAAGCTGTTGAATGTGAAGTAGGAATTTCTTTGATTTTTTTCAGCTCTTAATGGGAATAGATAGCATCGCTCGCAATTGAGCTGAAACACATGTGATGTATTGGTGCCAATCACAACTAGTTCGGGCTTGAGGCCAGCTGTTGTACATACTGAAATTTTGTGTATATCAAGGGCCTTGTTTTAAATGAAAATGTTCACTCTTTATGAGTAGCGTATGATGTATGTCTTTATGTTCGAGTGCTCCTGGTTTCTTCCTCCCCCTTCTCCCTTTGGTACGATTTTGCGCATTTCCATATGGGACCAAGTGAATACTAAATGCATGAGTAGTTAATTGACTGCCTTTTGCAGAGCTCATATAAGTTGGGTAACTATCTGAGGTGATAAACAATTTTGAAATTTGACTAACCAACCAGATAGACCAAATAGTTGTGCTCTGTTTTCCAGTGCTACAGATTCTAGGATATGGTGACAAGGTTGTGAATGACCTGTTTCTTTGCTTCCACAATCAACTATCTCACTGTCTTTCCTCCAGTTAACATCCCATCCGTAGTTCCTGGATAATATGCCTCTCATGTTTATTCATGTAAAAACTGCATATCTCAGGCTGTAATAGAAGCAACAGGGTCTTTGGTTCAAAACGAATAAGCTAAGTTTATATAACAAAATCTTGATACTTCCTAAGACTGTGTGGTGAAAGTTGGGGATATACTAAGTGCTACAATTAGGTTGTGTTGTTCGACATTTACATGTTTATGCTTCACTGACTATCAACACCTCAACAATTTGATATTTTTGCACTATTGCTCTTTCTGTATCTTTCATTCTCCAGATATAATGATAAAAAGTTCTGTAACAAAACTAGTTCCCATATTTCTTGAATTGTTTTTTGGTTCCTTTTCCTATCGCATTTAAGGTCAAAACAGAAGTGATTGTTATTTGCAAAATAGGACAGCATAGTGATCAAGTTTTCCATCGCTAAATCAGAAAACTTTGCCAATAAAGGAGCTTCTTTAGTCCCTATAGTTCAAAAATTATGGAACGAAAACTTGTCAGATAGTTGCAAATGAAAGGTTTATTGCACGATATCTATTTTAGGACATCAAACAGCGTGCATGATCCATCTTTATTATCACAATCAGTCTTATCATATATAACTTGCCGGGCTTTCCAGGGAATTTAATCATCAAGTAAAAATGATAAAAAATTTGAGTTACCTTAATATAACCATAGCGTTAGTACTATAAATACCATAGTCACTCTAAGCATTTCATCCACAACATTCAAACAGAGACATATTAGATTCAACAGAAAAACTCAGCTAGTGAAAGATGGCTTTGATATCCAATTGGAAGCTTGCTTTTGTAGCTCTACTAGTGTTAGGAATGTGGCTTCTCAAACCGCATCTCATGACTTGAACGAAGCATCAATGGTCCAGAAACACGAGTACTGGATGGCTCGCTTTGGACGTGTGTATAGAGATGATGCAGAGAAGGCAAAGAGGTTCAAAATATTCAACGACAATGTTGATTATATTGAGTCAGTCAACAAGGCAGGAATTAGGCCTTATAAGTTGGGCATCAATGAATTTGCAGATTTGACAAATGAGGAATTTAGAGCGACTCACAACGGATACAAAATGTCTTCTCATCAGAAGTCATCAAAAACCATATCATTCAGGTATGAAAATGTGACTGCTCCCGCTACCATGCATTGGAGAAAGAAGGGTGCCGTTACTGGAGTTAAGGACCAAGGGCAGTGTGGTAAGTCAAATTATTAGGTCATGCTAATAATAACATTTTCTTTAATGAATATGCTATAGAAGAAAATCTTATTAAGCTGATAATGTAGGATGTTGTTGGGCATTTTCTGCTGTTGCTGCTACTGAGGGGATCAACAAGATCATAACATGTAAGTTAATATCTTTATCTGAACAAGAACTCGTGGATTGCGACACAAGTTCTGATATGGGATGTGAGGGAGGTCTTATGGATGGTGCTTTTACGTTCATTATCAAGAACCATGGACTTACTACCGAATCAAATTATCCATACGAGGGAACCGATGGCACTTGCAAAACTGAAAAGGAATCCAACCATGCTATTAAGATTACTAGCTATGAAGATGTCCCAGCCAACAGTGAATCTGCTTTGTTGAGTGCTGTTGCTAACCAACCTGTATCCGTTGCCATTGATGCTAGTGGATCAGACTTTCAATTCTACTCTAACGTATTTTTACTGGAGAATGTGGAACTGAGTTATATCATGGTGTTACAACAATCGGATATGGAAAAACTAGTGACGGGAAAAAGTATTGGTTAGTGAAGAACTCGTGGGGGACTAGTTGGGGAGAGAACGAATATATTAGAATGCAAAGAGGTATTGATGCTGCAGAAGGAATTTGTGGAATTGCTATGCAAGCTTCTTATCCAACTGCTTAATAGCTTAGAAGCTTTGGTGCATGGGAATTTGTTGTTATCACCTTGCTCATATTTTATATGATGTGTCTAATGTGTATATATGCTACAAACTCCTTGTATGTACATAAGTGTTAAAAAAGCTTTCTATGTGAAAAGATTGGTAATGCGAGTGAATGATAGAAAAAATGCTTCCCCTATTTAAGACTTGGACTCCATAAACACGAGATTAATATATATACTGTCTTAGATTCCACTATTCAATCTTTGATTCTTTGGTTTCTCTGTCTTAGATTCCAAAAGTTCTTTCAACTCGTTTCTATCAACACTTGGCCCAAAATAAGTAATTTCTGTATGGACCCAATGTTGGCCCAAAAACAGGTGAAGTTTTGAAGACTGACAAAAGAACTCAGACATGGACCAGGTCCATCTTGTGAAGCACAGTCATGATCGACCCAAGCATGTGAGATGCACGTGAAGGAGATAAATCTAACTTATCAGAAGTGATATCTCCTGATCTGATCGAAAAGGTTGCATATTGGATAAGGAGAGAAAGACTCCTTACATGAATAGAACACATTTTAAGAAGAGGATAGTGTTAGAGTATGAGATCAACTAGAACTCTTCTACGATAGAAGAGTAGCATCGTATCCCAGTTAATCTCTAATTACTAACCCAATAAATATTAGTATTTCTTTTACAGGTAATGCACATAAGCAGAAGTTAAACTTAAATTGAGAGCAAAAGAGCAAGACAATTTTGCAAGCAATTTATGTGTGATTCAAGCGTGCAATCCTGAAGCTACTTGAACAAGATAGAAGAACCAGTTCCAAGTGTCTATCTTTTATTCTAGTTCAATTGTAGTAGGTGATTTTACATTGTACCTTTCAATTTTTATAGAAGCAATTGTATTAGGTACCTTGAGTGTTCAAGTTAGAGTTAACTTGAAGTTGCCGCAACAGTTGAGGCTGTGTGCCACAACGGGATTAGAGTTAATCCTTAGGATTACAAAGAGTTTTATAAATGCTGTTTTGGCTCAGTGATTTTAGTGGAAGTTTGGAAAAATCCTACTGAGTAATAGGTCGTGGTTTTTTCACCTTTTGAGCCAGGTGTTTTCCACGTAAAAATCTCCGTGTTCTTTATTTTCTTTAATTCTTATTCCGCAAACAGTAGTAGTTAGAACACATAGAAGAACCAGGTCCTTCTATAGTTCAGTTAAGCAAAAATTGGGTACCACACAAATTACCCCCCTCTTGTATGGTATTAAAGTATAAAACATCACCCAAAAACCAACTAGTAGTAAGTAAATAATGTTGGAGAAACATTAGAGGAGAGAAACAACAAGGAGATGCCAACAAGGAGAACCAACCACTAAACTTAGTGGTGAGGGCACAGAAGGATCAAACTACAACTAACTGGGTTACCCCTAAGAGACAAGCTACCCAACAGTCCAAGACTCAACATCAGTTGGTTGAGAACAACTCTTTTTTCATGTGCTGCAACAAACAACTAGCAGTGATGATAGGCTATAATTGCATATTTTAGTCTCTTATTACACTCGAATTTACTGCACTTTAATTGAGTTTGCGCTTTAATCGCTAGTGTTTTGCACTAATTGTGTATTTTATGCCTTGTAGGTGTGATTCCGAGCTATATAGATGTTATGGAATGAATTTAAGTGATTTGAAGCTTTGAAGTCTAAGTAAAATCTCAAGGAATTAAGCCGGGATCGTGTTCGGAGGTCAAATTTGATAATTAAGTACGAACGAAGACTTGAGGAGGCATATTGCGCACTGTCTAGTAAAATAGACATAACTTTTTTCTCAAAACTCCATTTGGGCTACACAATATATAGTTAGAAAGCTAACTCAAAGGGCTACAACTTTCATGTTTTATGTTTTTCCAAATTCCAAACGGAACAGGGTGAAAAACCGCAGTTTTTCCGCGACCGCGGCAGAACCGCGGTAGAAGATGGTCGCGGACAACTGAAGAATCAGAGGGCATGTTTGGCCGCGGTTCCACCGCGACCGCGGCAAAACCACGGCAGGAAGCGAAAATTTCAGGGACTAAAGTGCAAAGTATGGGATTTTAAGTCCTAAACCCTATATTAAACAAAGGAGGCCGGCCAAGAACAAGAGGAGGACATATTTTGGACACAAATTAGACCTAAGGAGGCGGAGAGACACTACTTTAGGGTGAGACAACACCCTTGGAGGCAAGAACACATTGGGAGCAAGGTGGAGAATTCTTCTACGAGTTTTTTCCTTCCTCTTCCTATTTTTTTCATTGTTGGTTATGAATTTTAGTATTGTAGTTTTACATACTATTATGAATAGCTAATTTGTTATCTAGAGTTTGATAGAACCTTTTGTATGATAAATTCTTGTTATGTTTTTATATAATTGAGCCATAGCTTTTCTCTATTTGTTCAACTACGTTTATATTCTGGTTGATTGAAGAGCTCTCAATTAGCTGTGCCTATTTAGTATGCATAACTCGGGAGAGAGTGCATATTTAGGTGATTGTTGAACAACACCACTCCCAGAGTATATGAGGGATCAATAACCGAGGGTTTAAAGGCGAGATTAGGGATAACGAAGCCTTGGGTGCAATCTGAAGTGAGCTTGTTAATTTACTGTTTTAATTTGTTAGTTAATTAGTTAAACAGAAGAATCTTAATATCTATAAGTTAGGAATTGTTCAAGCTTGTCTTCTTGGTGATAGTGAACAGCTGTAGCTAAACCTTAGTTCTCTGTGGGATTCGACTCCGGACTTGTAAGCCGGATTATATTTGTAACG